GAAGAGAAGAACATTTATTCAACGCCTCCTCAACAGCTGCCACTGAATTATAAGCATTTTATTTAATCCTCCCAGCAACTCTGTTGCTTCCCCCAAAAGAGCTGCTAGGCAGACAACTCAGTAGGTAAAACAGTTATTAATCTCATTTCAGCAGATGACTTTAATCTCATTTCAGCTGCTTAAAGAAGTTAAAGAACTTGCATTAGATGCCAGCTGATCTAATACAGATTTGGCTGGAAAAAACCTGCGATGTGAATCCAGATCTTTCTGTGTCTCAAACCCAAGTTCTTCCTACCCCATCATGCTATTACTATTACATTACCAACTGGTCCTATGAAAAGATGTAACTCATGAAATGGAAACTGGACACCAGTAATATGGGCAAGATTGCCAAGGGAACAAGACAGGCTTTGCCTCAAGGACTGTGCAGGGTAGATCCAGAGGGACCCGGCGCCCACCTTCTTCATGGCGGGTGTGGGCAAGGGGTCAGCTGCCAGCCTCCACCCGCCCCACCTAGGGGATCCGCCACGGCACTTGATCCAAAGCCACACTCTTCCCCTGCAGCCCTGGCCAGTGACAGAGCATGGCAGGGTACCAGGGCCTGGCCATGTCTGCCCAAAGAAGCGCTCCTTTGTGGGCCATCTGTACACCAGGACACGGGCTAGCCCAGCCGAGAGAGGTTCCTTGGAGCTGTGCTGCAGTCAGAGCCTTTTCCTGCCCAGCACTCCTTCCCCCTGTCCTGGGGTAGATGCCAAACCTGCGTGGCAGTCTGAACGCTCCCTCGCCCACTCCTGCCCCCTCACACCTGGCTCTTTCAGAGGCACCACTCCCAACAGATTTCTTGCACTTCTAACTTTATCTTGGCATAGAGGACTTGGCTGAGTGAAACAGGATAATAAGTTTTAAATGACTGACTTAACGGCTGCTTCATTTCACAAGCGACATAAGGGAGCTAAGAAAAAAAATGCATAGGCTATAAAAGTACTGGAGGGAGTTACAGTGAAGAAAAATTATGAAACAAAATCAAAGCCGAGGTTGGAGGAGAGCGTCCAGTAAGTGACTGTATAAACTATGGTTACACAGTCTTACATAGTCTCTAGAGAGAAGGCCATCAACTTCACAATATGTTAGTTAACAAAGCAGGACAAGAAACATGTTCGGTTAGGACTTACAATGTCCATTTCCCCAAAAAGAACAAAGCTGGTATTTCAGCCCAGTCTTGCAGGACGGATAAGTTTTGAGAGGCACAAGTGAAAAAGGCATTCCAGGGAGAAAGTGTGGTGAAAACTAAGGTGTTGGTGTGTTCCTCCAAAGTGGAAGTAAGCTGTTTTGCTTCATCAATTCATTTAATAAATAGTTGAGCACCTGTTCTATTTCCACTTGACAGTACATGCTCACAAGGATGGGAACTGTGTTCCCACTTGCTTAGTAACCATGAGTTACACACAGAAGTTGCCTGAGAAGTGAACTGTACAAGTTAGTAAATACATGCAGCACTGGGCCAGGTGCTACGGATGAGACGGCCACAGAACACAAATACAGAACCATGTAAGTAACACAATGTTATTAAGAACTATAATCAAAGTTTTCTAAAAATAAGAGAGAGCATTTGTTGAGGGCTTACAGTGGCCGATCTCTGTGTAATGCCTGGGTATGGTAGGCAGAATAACAGCCCCCCAAATATGGCTACATCCTAATCCCCAGCGGGTGTAATTATGTCACCTTATATGGTGAAAGGGACTTTGCAGATGTAATTAAGGGTACAGACTTTGAGATGGGGAGATTTTCCTGGATTAACCTGGTGGGCCCGATGGGATCACAAGAGTCCTAACATGGGAAATAGGAGGCAAGAAGGTCAAAGTCACGGAAGGAGATGTGGTGACAGAAGCAGAGCTCAGAGAGAGAGACTTGAAGACCCTACACTGTTGGCTTTGAAGACGGAGGAAGGGGCCAGCAACCAGGGAATGCAGGCAGCCTCTAGAAGCTGGAAAAGACAAGGAAACATTTTCACGCAGAGCCTCCAGAAGGAATGCAGCTCTGCCATCACCTTGACTGGAGCCCATTTGGACTTCTGACCCCCTGAACTGTGCAATAATAAAGTTGTGTTATTTCAAGCCACTAAGTCTGAGGTAATAAGAAACAAACACAATGGGCTTCACATGCATTATGACATTTTCATCTTCCCACAAACCTATTAACTCTTATTTTCCCTTTGCAGATGGGGCAATTCCAGTCTCACAGAGGTTAAATAAGTAGCCCAAGGCTTTGTAAAGACTTGGTATCAAAAGACAAAGTATTTAAGATATCTCAGTAATTTTTTAAATTGCTTACATATTGAACTGGTGATATTTTGGATATACTGAGTTAAATAAAATATTTAATATTAAAATTAATTTCACCTATTCCTTTTTAGCTTTTTTAAAATGTGGAGTCTAGAAATTTTAAGTTATATGTATATGGCTTGCATATATTTCTAAATGAACTATCCTGGCCTAGAATCTCCTTCTCAACTGTTTGGATTTTATCACGCACCTTTGATTTTTTTGAGAAAAAGACAGGGGCTTTAGGAAGGTAACGCAAGAAGCAGGTTAGGTGGTCTGAAAGACACTGCCCTTGGAGAAGTCTCAGGAAGAGTTGATAAAGGTTCTTGTCACAGGTTCTTAAAACAGACTTCTTTCCTTTGAGGAGTCTACAGTCTAGTCCTAGATAGAGTTAAAATTCCAAGAGACAGCCTAAAATGAAGTAGTTTCATTGGGCTAATATGCCTGAGAGGGAGAGGTATGCTGGCGTAACTCAGAGGAGAGAAGTGGGGTTGCTGAGGTAAGACGCCACAGAGGCGTGAGTGTCCTCATATGCGGAGTTGGAGTGGTGATAATAAGAGCAATGTAGCTAACACTCACTGGGCGTTGACTATGTGCCTGCGACTGACAGACGTGCTTCACGTACCGTTAACTCATTCAATTCTAATGGCAACTCTGTGGTAGATATAAAATAATAACATTATTATTATTCCATTTTACAGATGAGGAAACTGAAGCACAAAGAAATTCAGTAACTTGTCCACGCTTGCATATCCCGTAAAGGCAGAACAAGGATCAAAACCTAAGCCCCCGACCCAGGTGCCAGACCTTCTCCATCCCACTCTGGAGCAGCTTCGACTGAGCAGTGGAGACTTACAGCTCTCAAGTTTGCAGGACCCCAGAAAGGCCTGAGGAGATGCGAGTTCCTCCTCTTGTGGGGAAATGCCAAACTGGGGGACCTGAAAGGAAAGAGCTTCAGAGAAAGGAGAGGAATTGGGGAAAGAGAAAAAGAGGTCAAAGAGTGGGAAAGAACCTGTGAGCATCCTCCTTATAAAACCATACATCTACAAGGCCCGTCCCTTGTGTGATTCAAAGGGATGACTACGTTAACGCTAAAGGTTCTGTCCCTCCCCAACTCAACTGCTCCTCGGAGAGCTACCTGACCTCAGAAGAGAACTCCATGCATCTTTCTCATACAAGATCTGTGGCTGAGCTGCCCACATGGAAGGCAGGACATCCTGCAAAAAGAGGCAGTCGTCAGGCCCACTCATTTTCCTAGAACTCCATCCGAGAGGAGTGTACCCCCAGCCGCCACCCCTGTGTTACTCGGCAGACTCATGCTTGGTTAACGGCAGCTATGGAGAGATGCCACCCCTAGCCCCACTCCCAGACACAGGACACAGCGGGAACAAATTCCATGATCGCCCTTCAGTTAAAGGGAAACATTGAAGAACTAAGGAGGAGCCTTTCCAGGTCAAGTTTGCACTGGTAAGGAGTTTTGGTTGCAAGCAAAAGAAAACAAATGCAGAGTAACTTCAGCAAGCCAGAAAAAAGGCAATCGCTGGGATACCGCCGGGTCTTGAGAACAGGGTAGGACCAGCGCTCGGGCTGTGGTTTCGTCTCTCCTCTAGGTCCTCTCTCTGCATCCATCTTGCTCTCCTTCCTTCTCACTGCAGACCACGCCTCTCTGCTTTCCAGACCATGTGGTAGAAAGTGACCACCTATAACCCCTGTGTCTGTATGTTCCCAGTCCAAACACCCAAGGAAGGGAATACTCTCTTTCCTTCCGTATTAATTCCAAATTCCCAGCGGGGAGGACTGTCTTAACTTGAATGACGTGTCCATTTCTGGACCAATCAACTGTGGACGGGGCCTAGGTTCCCGTGCTACAGGAAACCACTACTAAAACCAAGCAGATGGGGAGGGGCTTCTCCCCAAAAGAGCTACTAGGCGACAACTAAGTGTTCACTACAGATTTCAGTCTTGGGCAGTAGTTGAACACAATGACCTTCTAATTATGATTCTATAATCTTACCAAATCCTGGCCTTGTGCTTCCCTTGCCAGTTGGATAGACTGCCTGCCTCTCTTCTCTTTAATTCCATTATTTTCTTCGAGATTCGATTCAAAACTGACCTTGATCAATGAATGAGCTCTGCCCACCTATCCCTATTCTACTCTGCATCTCGTGCCCTCAGCACTCTTGTATACTACCTTATTAGGAACTTATTAATACATCACTGTACAAGTGTTTTCTGTTTCATTGGTGGATATTATCCCTTTAGACAGCTATAGAAAGACACAGACCTTGTCCCTTTCCTCCTCTGTTACACCAAGCACCTTGTAGACAGTGGAGGAGGAAGGAGGACCACGATAGTTAGAGTTTCTTTCTCCTGTTCTATTAACAGATTTCCTGTTTTCTGTGAGGGGGCTCCCCGTTCCTTGTGGGACTTGTGATACTGGTGAATCACAAAAGCACAGGGTTCCTTGTACGATTTGGAGCCTCTGGTCCATAATCAAACTTGCTTATCCCCATTTACCTTTTAGGATTCTCCCTCTCCCGCAACATCTATCTGCCCATGTACTCCCCACGACGGATTTATTTTAGTTGCAACGTGGCTCAAATCCGGGACACTACACCATGTAATACAAACAGAAGCCCCATCCTGTCATGTTCTTTCACTATTCAGAGAAACACTTACCGAGCCAGGAACTGTTCCGGGAGCCTAGGATCTGCAAACAAACCAAACTAAGACTCAGGTTTTCATGGTGCTTATTATATCCGAGTTGGGACATTACATAACAGACATACAATATGTAATATGCTAGGAGGTGATAACGTGCTGTGATAAAGGAAAAAGAGGTCAAGGGGCTCCGGAGTGTTATTGTCACTGTTTTGTCCTGGTTTTGTTTATTTTTTGGTTTTGGTAGTACATTGTTGAATTTGATTACCTAATATTTCTTTTTGAATTTTTGCACCTATTTTCATAAGAGAAATGGGGCTTCGGTTTTCCTTTCTTTTCCATATTTGGTTTGGGAGCGATGATTATACTAGCTTCATAAAATGACCTGGGCAGCTTTTCTTCTTCAAACTTTTTCTCAAACAACTTGTAGAAGAAAGGATTAACTCTTACTTGGGAGTCTGGTAGGGCTCACTTATAATTCCCTCCGGGTCTAGGGTTATTTGGGAGGAAAGGGCTTTGCCAATTACATCAATGTTTATTGATCTCTTCAAATTCTCTACTTCTTCCTGCCAATTTTGGCATTTTATATTTTTCTAGGACTTACTTGTTTTATCTAGGCTTTCAATTTTATTAGCTAATAATTATTTACAACATACTTTTATTGTTTTAAATACCTATGGTGGCTATATTTGTTCCCCCTTCAAAAAATTTTGTATTTTGTTAATTTGCAACTTTTTCCTAATCAATCTGACTAGAGCTGTATCTACCTTATTCACTTTTATTTGAACCAGCTTTTGTTTTTGATAATCTTCTCTATTATTTTTTTCCTATTTTGTTGATTCCTGTCCTTGTCTTTATTATTTAATTCTCTTCCAGTTATCTACGACTGCGTGACAAACCACTTAATGCCTTACTGGACTGAAACGGGTATTTATCATTGTCTCTTGGAGTTCACTGAGCATTGCACTGTGCTGCTTCGTTTTCTTCTGGTATGGTGACTGGTTCTTCTGGCACACTGTCTGAAGAGTAAGCATCCCAAGAGACCCAAATCAAAGTTGTAAGGTTTCTTAAGACTTAGCCTCACAAGTTTTAAAATGTCACTTCTGCCTCATACTACTGGTGAAACAAATCACCAGGGCAAGCCCAGGTTCAAGGGCAAGGGAACTGGACTTCATCTCTCCTTTTTTTTTTTTTTTTGGCCGTGCCATGTGGCTTGCAGGATCTTAGTTCCCCAACCAGGGATCGAACCCACACCCTCTGCAGTGTAAGCGCAGAGTCCTAACCACCGGACCGCCAGGGAATTCCCTGGACTTCATCTCTTAATGTGAGAAGCAGCATTTGACCATACGCAAGGGAAGAACAGGTGGTAGCCATGTTGTAAACAACATTATACTATCCTTGATGCTTTGGATTTTTTCTGTTGCTTTTTCTTGTGATTTATTGAGTTAAATATTTGGCTTTTGTTGAATTGTACTTGTTTCTGAGTAACTACATTTAAAATTATGAATTTCACTCTAAGAGTTAGCATAGATGTTTTTCACAAATACTGATATATATGGTATTTTCATTATCATACAAAAAAAATTTTCTTAATCTCTGCACTGGCAATTCTGGCAACCCTGTCCAACAGGGTTGGTAACAAAATATTCTTCGCTGTTGGACCACACTACTCCACCGCCACCCTCTCCCTTCCCTCCAGACTGATATTGACTAACACAACGGGAAAACTTAAATAGGTATTGAATGATTTTAAAATAAGCACAAGTTTCTTTTTTCAAAAATGTGAAATAAAGTCTTTCAATAACAAAAACAGAAAAGAAAAGGAAGCGTTAGATAGGCAAGGTGTGCCAAGATCCCATGCTTGCCTTCTTTAGGGAGAGGATAGAGTGTAATGAGGAATTAAAAGGGGACTACAATTAGAGTGTGAAAATTTTAATGTGATGTAATATATACTAGTTATGTTTGCTGATTTGGTTTAATGTGTTTTGCTGATCATTTATTGTTAACCTAGCTTTCAATAAATGGGCTTGGGACATTACATAACAGACATACAATATGTAATATGCTAGGAGGTGATAACGTGCTGTGATAAAGGAAAAAGAGGTCAAGGGGGCTCTTGCTCTTCAGCAAGGTCCTCTCTTATAATTATCTTCTTCCTCTTATAATTATCACAGGCTGTCTTCCTATTGTCCTTCAGCAGCCAGTCACGGAGGAACCTAAAAAATGTTGCAGTGCAGGTACACATTATGATGTTGCTAGAGACTTTGTTCCTTGTGACCTGATGATCAGAGAGCCAGGCCCTAACGAAGAACAGTGGCATCTTCCCGCGTTGAATCTTGCTATCATCTTACACACGGCTTCCTAGCTCAGTTTTGTGGAGGGCTGCCTGGGCTTCACTGCCTTCTAGTCTCTTACACATGGGTCAGATCCTTGAAAAGACATCTATGTTTGGATGAAAAATTACTTTCTTTTTATTTTTGAGGGAGGGAAGGTGCATGATTCAAGTTATGATTTTGCACCTAAGAACAGTTCTAACTTTAAGAAAACCCAGTATCCCCAAAATCCAAACTTTTAAAACAAGCTAACCAGGTAGCAGTTAAAAAGATGCCTCCACTTACAAAAGGCTTCACCAGAGTTTTCTTTTAAATAGCCATCTACTCCCTTACACTTTCCTCATTGTGTTTCAGAAAGCAACTTACAAATTTCAGGAGTCTACTTTATAAAGGCGATTTTTAAAAAATCACCTGTAATCCCAGAGTTAACACTGTCACCATTCGGCTTTAATTCCCCGCAGTTTTAAAAGACACCTTATGCATACATGATGAATATTATTATGCTATACCTGTCATGGTCTATATGGTGTGTATTATTACAAGCTGTATTCTACCCCCTCGGGTTACGCGGCGCAGGTGTGGCCATCGCAGTTCCCGCCTCGCGCGCGGAGGTGTGTCCGCTGCAGCAGCTACCGTTTATCCTTCGGCCCGAGCCAGCTGCTGGATTACAGCCGGTTCCAGAGACTCGCCCTTCTTTCTTCTCGCTGCTCCACCTCCCTAAACTTACAGTTTCCACCGCAGAGAGTCTCTTAGGCATCTAGCTGGCTCCAGCCCTCCCACCGTCGGTTTCAAGACGAAAAACCCCGAAAAGCCGCAGTCACGTATCCGGGAGGAAAGCGGCAGACACTCCAGCCTGAACCAGGTGACTGAGGCCCGCGGCCGCGCGGGGCGGGGCGCGCTCCCGAATGGGCGCGGCCTCCTCCCGCCCCCCGCCTCGCCCTCCGCGGACGCGCCGCGGCGGAGACGCGCCAGGGGAAGCGGGCGGCCGCGAAGGCGGGCGCCATTTTGGACTCAGTGTCTGGCCCGCGGCGCAGAGGACCTACACGGTGATGGTGGCTGCGGCTCGCTGAAGGCGTCTCTCGCGCGGCGACGAGAGACCTGGGAGAAGGACGCGGACGGCGCGGGACTGAGAAGGGCGGCTTCTCCCTGGGCAGCCAGAGCCGCAAAGGCGGAGCCGCGTTGGCGTCCGCCCCGGGACCAGCGCTTCGGATGCGGGTGGAGCGCGGGGCGCCACGGCAGCGGGAGCGCAAGGCGCGGGGCCTCATGTGAGAGTCGCGAGCCAAGCCGCCCGCGGAGCCCGGGGTGGAGTGTGGGGGAAGCCGCCCCCGGCAGCAGGTAACTGCCGAGGGCCCGAGCCCCGTGGCGTGGGCGGGGCCGGGGAGGGTCGCCGACGTGGGCGGGCGGCTGGGCGGGCCGGGGGGCGCGGGGCCCCGGGTGCGCTCGCGCGGCTCCTCGGGAGCGCGGCGCAGCGGCCCGACAGCGGACCCTGCCCCGGGGCATTTCCCCGCAGAACCTGCTTCAAAACAGGTCAACAAGGCGTGGTGCGTGCGCGGCGGCGGCCTGCAGCAGTCTCCCCGCGACACCTCCGAGCCTGTCGTCCGGCTTTGTTAACCCTCGGCGGGGGCTGGTGACCGACACGTTTGAGCTTGCGCTCTGTCCGGCTCTTCCCGGTGTCGGCTAAGGCCGTGCTTGTAGCTTGAGAAATGAGGGGCATTAAGATGTCAAAACAGACTGCCCGGGGTAGGGCGCCCCAGAAATGTCAGGGAAAGCCAATCCGTGGAGGTGGCGCGGGAGGAGGGGACGCCCGGGCCGCTCGTAGCCACGTGGAAAAGTTGGTCAACTTGTGATTAGCAGCTTCGCGCCTGCTTTGAGCAAGAGCACCCCTTTCAGATGGGGTTGCGTGCAGGGATCGGGAAAACAGCCTGTTAAATGATTGGCCTGTATCTCCAGGCTAAGAGATGAGCTATTTTGTTGCTGATCATGTCCAGTGGAACGGCCCAGATCTTTTGATTAGAGTCGTCTTCCTTCTACTCCTGAAATCTTTATAAACACGCCATCAACTTCTAGTATCTACAAATGATCGCACCACCACACTCTCTGATACCATCTAGTCCTGAGTTAAGCTCTTTGCGCTGTTTTAGTCTTGTGTTCCAGCCAAAGAATGCATATTAATTGTGATATTAGTCAAAGAAGAACATAAATGGAAAGGAAGTGTGTTGCCCAAAACAGGCTTTTTAGAGCTAACTACAAATGGGCTTTTAAAATTGCTACCAGTGCAATGTACTAAAAATACAACGAGGGGCACGCGGCTAAGTGTTTTCCTCTGCTGCTCTTCAACTGATGTTCAAGTGGACTGCTTCTTTCAGAGTGTATGGAAATGTGAAGAGTAAATTGCATAATTCCCTGTGCTGCTCAACGAGGCTGGAGTCTTTCCTCATTAGTTTGCTTTTTGATGCTTCGTAGCAGTATAAGTCCCTCACCAGATGCTTTTAGGGGCCTAAGTTGCATCGATTATTTGGGGCCTGGAAAAGTTACAGTTTGAACTGAACTGCCGGAGGCATGAAGAGGCCTAGTTCGGGTGCTCTACAAAATCTAAGAGATGTTGATCATCCAGCTTCTCCTCTGCACTCCTGTTCAAGTGTGAGAGGTATTTTCACTTTGACTAAAAGTAGGAGATGAGATAATCCATTGAAGTAAATTCTTTGCAGACTGGTGGATGCTCAAAATTGTTTAACTTTCTGTATAACAGCTTCATGTGTAAATAGATTTAATAAAATACTTTTGAAAGCAATGTAAATTTTTGCATGAATAAATGAGATCATCGTGGAAAAAATTAGACATTAAAATTTTTTCTTAGGTGCCCACTATGAGCTCACATTTTTATGCATACATGAGGATAATACAGAGACATTTATATTGGCATTTGGTCTTACATTTTTTCTATTGCTTAGTATACTGTAATTCTGACATATTACAGTCATATATTGATAATTTACAGACTAGTCATAGACTAGTAAGTGCTTAAAATATACTTTGGTGATCATATAGTGTTATATATCTAGACCAAGAGATACTTTTCCTCAATGTTGCATACTTTTTTTTGATATGTCAACTTTTTTCTCCCCTCAATTTGGAAAGGTATTGAAATATACTTTATTTAAAAACAAGACTGCAACAGACAAAAGAAGGTATTTGTTAGGATCAGCAAAGATAACTGTGTAAAAAAGGCTGTCATTTTTGTTTATATGGCCATATACTTTAAAGTAAAATGAATCATTCTGTGTTTTTTTTTTTTGCGGTACACGGGCCTCTCACTGATGTGATCTCTCCCATTGCGGAGCACAGGCTCCGGATGCGCAGACTCAGCGGCCATGGCTCAAGGGCCCAGCCGCTCTGCGGCATGTGGGATCCTCCTGGACCTGGGCACGAACCCGTGTCCATGCATCGGCAGGCAGACTCTCAACCACTGCGCCACTAGGGAAGCCCGAATCATTCTGTCTTTAAGTTGAATAGTTCTGGTTTTAGAAGACTTTTCTCCAGAAATAGATCAGCATTCTTTAATAAGGAGTAGAAATTATAAAGATAACTTCATTATGTTTTTAATCTGTTTCTCAAAATTCTGAGTAGTTTTAGGTAGTCAGAAGAGAAATTATGAGCCCTGAGTAGCAAACTCTTTGTTCTTTGACCCAGATTTTATATGCTAAAACTAAAGTAAGCCTTCAGGATAAGTTAAAGCAGAAAAATGGGTCATAATGACACTTATCTCAACCTCTAGTGAGAATTATTCCTAGGAGAGACCTTTTTTAATATTAAATATGACATTGTAGATTATACTGCCTTGTCTCTCAACACATTTTAAAAATGTATTCTTAGATTCAGACGTAAGTTTTAGTCTTCTATAAAACTACCCTCTTGCTATCACCTCTGTCATTCTGTTTTCTCCCTTCCTCTCCCCCTGCACAATATTATATACATAATTTAATTTACTTAACTTAGAGTTGGAAGTAGGAGTAATGAGGAATAGGTGGTTTACTGCACATGTACTAAGACCTCCTGGGCTGATTTTAATGGCATGAAAGTCAGGGTCCTCTGCCATTTTCCTCCAGGCCCTAATCCTCCTTCACAATTTTAGCTAGCTACTAGAGAGAGAGTCTGCAGAGACATATTTGGTTAAGAGCCATGCTTGTGTACATTTGTCCCACACAGGAGTCAGAATTCTTACATACTGATGTGCCAGACGAAGGGAGCTAGAGCTACAAGCCATCCTTTGTGAAAAAGTTGTGACTCTAAATCCAAACCATACCCTGCCAGAACTGCTCTCTAGAGACAAAAGTATTGCAGGCTCTAAACTAAACAGGGATACCAGTGAGTGGTCTGCAGTTACCCCCATTTAGTTAGAGCCTGCAATATTTATTTTTCCAAATAAATCAAAACGAGACCTTTTATCTGATTACAGTTTAATTCACTGACATTAAAAGAAACGTGTAAAATATAGGGAAGCATACTGGCAAAAGAAAAAATCACCTGTAATCCCACCACTATTATTGTCCCACTATTATTATATAATCCCACTATTATAGTTACTATATTAATGTGGTAATCTACTTCCAGTGTATCTTTCTCATACATAAGCTTGCGTTCTCATTCTCTCTCATACACACTTCATTTTAAAACAAATCTAGGATCATTCTTTGCCCTCTGGTTGGTAACCTCTGTTTCTTGTGTTGCACTTTAATGTCCTTAATACTAGACTGCTTTCCTATACCTGAGTTCAGCAATCATCGATATCTCCTTTCAAAAGCCCTAATAACTGTTTAATTCCTAACAAGAACCCTGCGTATTTCTGTTATTCCCATTTCACAAACTGAAGCACAGGCAAGTCAAGTAATTTGTTCAAGGCCACATAACCAGTGAGAGGCAGAGCCAGGAATTAAACCAGGGAGCTTGATTCCAGAACCCATTCTCTTTAACCGTACTACTGTTTTACACAACAACAACAAAACTACTTTCAAAAAATCAAATGGAATGCAGGTCATACAAACAGATAGAATAAACACTTAACTCTCATTCAAAAATACAACTTGGATAAAACATTGCAACAGCAAGTGATGTGTTGGAAGAAGCAGCCACATTCCAGACCAAATACGCACAGTGGGGATGAGTTTGCTCATTTTAAGCAGAGATTGGGTCTGGCAGTAACACATATCACAGGCTACCCAGTGTGGAGAGATCTGTTGATTACTTAATTCAGGTCTTCTCTGGAGGTTCCTGGGACTCTGCCATGAATTCAGGAATTCAAATATAGTAGGTACCCTTAGATGACTTTTAAGAAATCTTGAGAAAGTGTCACTGTAGGTTCTCTTTTATATTCCTTGTAGTTGACTGCAACTTTTGAAATATAAATTCTTGGTTTAGCTTCAAAATTATGATCAACTTCTCCCCCCAGGTAGTACAGTACAAATGTTTAAAAGCACCTACCAAAGACATAAGTTTGTAAAACGACAGTTGGTCTCTGCTGGCGTTTTTCATTATATTTTGTTTTGACATTCTTCTCCTTGAATTCCTGATCCACTTCTTCCTGCATGTTTCTGTTGGTATTTGTAAGCACATGTACACACATCTCAGTGACAGAAGAATGAATTTTGGATTTATTTCTATTGAAAAGTATAAAAAAAAATGATGCATTTTTTCTGAATAGGATGAAACGAGGAGGAGGAAGAGATAGTGACCA